GTCCAGCAGGCTGGTTATATAAGCCTGAAACTGCTGTTTCTTCTGTTCTATCAGCCTGTGCAGCAGCACTGGTGAGGCTCTGCTGCACGGAGGAGGTAGGTGCTCGGCAGGCTGAGGCAGGGATGGTCATCTGGCCAAAGGAGCCCATGGTGGGAGGCAAACTTGCATCCAGGTGAACCTGCAGGCACTGAAGGGGTAGATGGTATCTAAAGGTAGAATGTGCAAAGAATTCAGGAGTGTGTTTATTTAGGCTGGATTAATTTCATTGTATGATAATGAGGCTTTAGCATATGGATCATCCCCTGTGCAATCTCAGATGTTGCTGCTATAAACTGCTGGGGTTGTTCTCTAATGGATATGACTTGAAGCACTGCTTTGGTATAGCTGAAACCCTCAAAGGTAAAGTCATTTCGTGGGGGGTGAGGATTGCTCAGGGAGTGGGTGGTAGCTAGGAAAACACTGTGGAATGCAAAAGCTGAAATACTTGAGACAGACACTTGTAAAATACAATTTATTTTTTTTTCCACCCCCCCCCCCCTTCAGTGTGCAATACCTAAAGCCTGCCTATTTAATTATACCCTTGGAAAACAAACTTATGCTTCTGATAAGCTGACAGGAGTTTAGGCAGAGATGTATGACCTACCAGCTTGTGCAAGTTTAGTGAAATCAGCTTGCCTTGAAACTTGAGTAAAGCACTCTTTCAAAATCCCAGTATCGATGCCTTCGTGTGCCAGAGTTAACTAAACTGTGAGCAAATCACCTGCTTCTGAGCTCCAGCTGGAAGGTTCTCCAACTTGAGGTATGTATGAAGGAGCACTGGATCCTTCTTCACCAAGGCAGCTCTGGCACAGACAGAAACAGCCATAACTGGAAAGGAAGTGCTGTAAACTCCTTCACTCAGTTCATGTGTTCTGTGCCCAGCCTTCAGTGAGGCTACATGACAGAAGTGACTTAGCAAATGGAGCTTCTTCACAGTACACACTTTCCTGCTGGCAAAGCACACTGGAGTTCAACTTCTGAAAAGACCAGAAGCTTGAAACCTCTGCAGTCTGCCTGCTGGTCCTGTGCAGTTTGGTCTGGTCCTGGTCACAGGGGAGGTAACTTTATTTTTGGCCAGCTGTCTTCATACAAGGATTGTTTCTTGTCTTATTCCAGAATTAATACTCTGTGTAAATCATTCTGTTCTGCAACCTGGGTACTTGCTGGCAGTCTTTCTGCTGCCTGCTTGGTTTCTGTATAGTGGTTGAAATCACAATCCCTATGGGGAGAATCCTACTGTGGAGGGGAATGTCAAGTGACAGAAATGGCCCCTGAGAATTCTTGGAGTTAGTCTGCTGTTGTCATCAACCCCAGCAGTGAAACTGCTTGCTCTAGTCCAGAAGGGAGAGTGTTGCAACAAGGAGCGTGTTCTAAAATGATTACAAAATGGAGCCTACAAGGCAGAGATGACATCTTGATGCAGCACTGTTTTTCTGTAATCCAGAAATGGATTGCATGCATGGGAAAACTGAGTGAGGAGGGATGCAACTTTCCCACCTACTTTCTCAAGTGTTTGGTGGCCAATTTTCCCTTTTACTGCAGATGCTGGGAGTCAGATGAGATAAGATATGGCACATTCCAGCTTCTGTAAAGATGGCCCCTAAATTTATTGCTCTTATGGGACTTTAACAGGGTCTCTGTTGCCTCCAGGAGGAGTGGGGACTTATTATGAATGTCCTTTTCCTCCAGTGACCCTGTCATTGTTACTGGAAGGCAGGAGATTTCCTGCTCCACCCTGCTGGGGGTTAATTGCTGACACTGAGCTATAATAAACTCTTATGACAGTCACTTTGTCTTTTTAAATCTGGCTTGTAGGTACACAATGTAAAGGGAGTTTTCCTACCCCAGGTAACTGGTAAATAGTGTTAGGGAGCCTGCTGTACTAATTGTGTTGGTTTCCCTCCTAGCTGTCTTGAGCTACAAATCAAAGTGAATGAAAGTTTAATTTCTTTTGAGAAGAAATAAGGCATTTCCTGGATTAAGCAAAACTGGCAACCCAGCACTGCAGCTTGAGTCTGAAATCGCCACAGTCATGAGACCCCAATTCCTGAAGAGATCTTTTATAAGCCTACTGTGGATAACTGTGAAGGGCCTGGCAATTCTTGCAGAAGTTTCCCTATGAAGGGAGGTGAAGGACTGGAGGGAGGAGGAAGGACCATTGGGAAGAAGTGCCAGGCAAGAGGGGGGAGAGAGAATTTTTTGTTTTCCTTGGTGTTGGATAGGAGGAGTAAGAAGTGGTTTAAGTAGGGAATTTAAATAGGCTTATCAACAGAAGGGGTGTGTTTACTGCATGCTCCTGGAAAGAGAAGAGGAATAGGATCATACCCAGCGTCTGGGGAGAGCAAGGAATGGTGTGTACGACTTCTTAGATGTAGTTTAGAAGGAGTTACTACAAAAGCTTTCTATCACATCTGGTGAGAGTGTTTTAAGAGGGATGTGTACTTGCTGGGAGACTGCCACTGGCCACTGCTGGAGCCTTAGGGTGGTGTGTGGTGAGACTGCTGGCTCTCAAAGCCCTCATCTGGGGTAGGATGAAGCTCTGCTCACCTGCAGGCATGGTTCCATTCAGAAGCTAAGCCATGTAAAAGTTAACTCTTCCAGCAGAGAAGCACAGTGGCTTTTGATGTTCCCCTTCTGCAAAGCTTTCCAGGCTTTCTCTTATTTGGATGGTAGAGGTGCAGGACTCTGCTCCCTCAGTCTCAGAGTGGTGGGAGGGATGCAGAGGGTGACAGAGAGCATGAGTGTTCTTGTCTTGTTTGGTTTTCCTTGGAATTCAGCAGGGAAAAAAAAAATTCAGCGGGATGTTGGTGATCCTGCCCTGACTCAGACCTTTCTGTGGCTGAACTTCCTGGGTTTTCTATGAATGCTCTTGTTTTCCTAGCCTGGTGTAGCAGGGTTCCAAACAAACCAGCAAAAGCAAAACAAAAATTGGCAATATGTATATACTGTTCTGGTCCTTCTGAAGAGGGAGATGTTCAGTTCTGTCTGTTTGTCCCTCTCCCTGTGGATGTGTAATCCTCTCTCTCTAATCTGCTCAGTGCAGCCCATTCTGCAGAGGCATGCCAGCCACTTTGCTGGTGCTCTGCAGCCTAACAGGGCAGCAGTTTCTTCTGACAGTGCTGTATATGGCTATTTTTCTCCTTTGTTTCTGCATCCTGTACCAGGATACCATGAATTTACTGGTTAATAAAATAGGTTTGCTGTTCTGCCATGTTTTACCAAACTCCTAGAACAGGCATTGCTGTTTTGTGTCTCAAAATGACCAGCTCCAAAATAAATATGTATAAAGAAGTAATAATTTGCATGTAGAGTTCTCCCAGTCTGTCTTTTGTGATGGACTAATGTAGCATTGGAACTGGACTGGCAGGAGGCAGATGCTTCCTCAGGGATTGCTGTCATCTTTCAATCTACCACCTCTGGTTGCTTGCAGCCTTCCCAAGTAGCACTAAGTCCAACTTGGCATTTTACCATTTATTGTTGTAAGCAGCAACCCAGGGAGTAGAGTTCTGTATTTGGTGTCCCTAGGGAATGTGGTGCTTTCTGAGTTCATATTAGGAAGGGCTTTCTTTTGCAATTTTCTGCTGGCAATTAATTTTAAGTCTAAACTTGAATTCTACCAGAGCAGATGGTCTGGGCACCCCCCTTGTCAACAAAGCCTTTCCTCCAGGCACTGGTGTATTGAGACCTGCTCCCAATTCTGTGCTTCCCCAGGGCTTACTGGGACTGTCTGCAAATGATATCTTGTGTTAGGGAAACGTGGTTGAATTTTTGCTCTTCCTCCTTTACAGCTGAATTCATGGGAGTTTTAAAATGACTGAAAGACTGGTGCTTGTCCTGCTCCTGAACTTTGCTATCAAGTATGTGGCATTC